TTCCACAGAAAACGAGAGGCTCTGGATTCATTCTGAGTTAAGAAAAAATCCAATATGATCAAGGACGACCACCAGAGAAATCCCTGGTAGGAACAGATGGCCCAGATGTCTGAGTTCTACATCCAGAACAGATTCAAAATGCTGCCTGAGATGATCAAGACTCACAGGATACTCCAATCAGGACATTAATATAACTCTAAATTTTCTTTAGGTCCCCATAAGATTATCAGCGCCCCCAACCAGCAGGAAGTAGCCTAAAATACTACGCCCACATTCCCAACAAGTGGACTATGGGTATTTTCCTTTGTTTTTTTTTTAAAAAAGGGGGAAATGGTGCGGGAGAATTGTCTGTATTCTGTCAATCATATTTTAATAAAACGCTGATTGGCCAGGCAGGCAGTATAGGCAGGAAAGCCAGACAGGAAGTAGGGGTGGAGCAAAGAGACTGGGAGTATTCTGGAAGCAGAAGCTCCTCAGTCACTCCTGCGCAGACCACCGAAGAGGCAGCATGTAACTTGCCCAGCTGAAAAAGGTACCAAGCCATATGGCTAACATAGATAAGGATAATGGGGTAATATATGTTATAAGAGCTAATAAGTAGCCAGAGCTAAGGGCCAATCAGTTTATAATCTTATGGAGTCCTGTGTGTGATTTTCCTTGGGAGTTGCCGGCTGTGGGGTACTGGGTGGGAACAGATACCCCAACAAGCCGGCCCGTTATGTTTGTTACAGATTGTCACTGCTTTGAGGCTAGCCTGGAATACATAATTAATGCAAGGCCAGCCTGAGCTATAGAGTAAGATCCTATCTCAAAAGAACAAAACAAATGGACCAGAAAGATGGCTCAAGGATTGAGATCACTGGCCCCTCTTCCAGAGAACCTGAGGGCCACGCTAATCTGAGTGGCTTGCAACCCCAGAGGTCATGGTGATGACTGGCCCTGTGCTGTACCTGGGAGCCATTTGTGGGTTCGTGGTTCTATCAAAGCTGGGGTCCATTTGATGTCAATAGTCCATTTTACCACTCAAATCCATGCAGATGCCTATGGTCTGGGAGGCCACCAGAAGCTATGTTGATGTCTGATGGCCAAGCAAAGCTGGTTCTACCCATCTACAGTGGCAGGAGAGTTGGATCCACCCCTCACCAACTGCCACACAGACGCACTGGTACAGTGTTGGCACTGGAGAACTGGTCCCAGAGGCATGGGTGGGGAGGAGCTGGCCTGGCCCCTCACCAACCACCACAAGACAGGGCTAAGGGGTAGCCTGGGTTGGGAGAGCTATCCCCAATGGTGTGTGTAAATGGAGGCTTTTTTTTCTATACCACCCTGTCCCCCAGCCATTTCCAAATAATTTCTTAGAGGCTTATATTAATTATAAATGTTTGGCATATGACTCAGGCTTATTATTAGCTACCTCTTACATTTAAATTAACCCATATTTCTTATCTGTGCTTTACCACAGGCTTCATGGCTTGTTACCCCCATTTTCCATATATCTTGCTTCCTGGGAAGCTGGCTGGCATCTCCCAGACTCCACCCCTCTTCTCCTGTACCTCTGCTTGGATTTCCCTCTGGCTCTATCCTGCCTTACCACAGACCAAGCAGCTTTATTTATTAACCAATGAGAGCAATACATAATCAAAGCATACATCCCACAGAGGTGTTGGCCTGAGAGAGCTGGTAGAACCATAACTGTAGGATTTCCATGACTAGGGGAAACAGCAGGATAGCAGAGAGGAGTCTCAGTGGAAATCCAATGTTGATGTAGCAGAAGCCAGAGGCTTTGAATCAGACCAACAACTCATTACAATGAATATTTGCAAGCAAAGCTCTTTGGGCAAAAGAGTGTACTGAGTGACACCCCGAATCGCTCAGTGCCACTGCAATGAATAAATATGTGATTGAGAGGCAGGAAAGAAAGAGGAGCAAAGTGACACACACACAGGCACACAGACACACAGACACACACAGACACACGCATGCACAGGCACACACACACAGGCACACAGACACACGCAGACACACACAGGCACACATACACAGGCACATATACACACACACACAGGCACACACAGGCATACACACACAGACACACACAGGTACACACATAGGTATACACACACAGATACACACACAGGCACACACACAGACACACACAGGCACACACACAGACACACAGACACACACAAACACACACACACACACACACACACACACACACACACACGGCAGAACTGAAGAGGAGACCGCTAGGTGGATGTGACAGAACACTGCAGGTAAGAGAGGAGCAGGCTGTCGCCACAAGGGTTGGCGAGATGATTTTTATTATCATTTTTTATTTCCTTTTGGGGGAAGAGATTACAAGGGTGGAAGGCAGACATGGAAGGATTTGGAAATGATTGGATGGGGTAGCTGATGTGAACTTCCCAAAGAATCAATTAAAAAATTAAGTTAATAAAAATGTAAAAACAAAACAAGGCCAGGGTGATGGCTCCTTGTGTCTGGGGATCTGAGTTGGATCCTCAGAATTCACGTAAAAAGCCAGATGCTGTGACATGCCTGTTATCTCAGCACTCTTACAGTGAGATGGGAGGTGGAGGCAGGAGACTACCTGAAAGTGAACAGCCAGTTGTGTATGCACAGCTTACACAGCTAAAACATGAGGCCTTCAGGAGGAGGAAAACAAGAGCCATCCCCTGAATGTTGCCCACTGACCTCCTGCTCATACATCATAGCACAGGCATACTCCCCTACCCTCCAACAACAAATAGATACATTAAAAAAAAAATCCTGTGAAATTTGACTAAACCAAATTCAATCGGTGATTTTTCCCTTTTCCTTTTTTAAAGAATATATTTATACTTTGACAATGTCATGTATGATACAACTATCTTGCTCATATTCACTCATAGTTCCTCCTCCTTTTCTCCCAGATCCACTCCCAACACAGCCTCTTCCTGTTTCTAAGTCCTTTTTTTTTGTTTGTTTTGTTTTGTTTTATTTTTAATGCAACCCACTGAGTCCAACTAGATCAGCCCACATGGCATAGATATGGGGCCATCTACCAGACCAGTCATGCACGGAGCCTCATGAGCCTCTACCTATCAGGTCTAGAATGTTGACTGGCTCAGTCTTGTGCAAGTGAGTTCATGGGTACAATGGCGCTATTGTGTCCAGAAGAGAGCTTTTCACAGTGCTCTCCCATCTTCTGGCCCTTACATTCCATGAGCACAGTGGCCATGCCATGTCCAGAGGACAGCATTTCACAGTACTCTCCAATCTTCTGCTCTTACATTCTTTCTGCCCCCTCTTCCTTGACATTCCCTGAGCCTTGGGATAATTATTATAAATATCCTGTTAAGACTGATCATTCCCAGCCACTTCTCAGAGCTCGGACCAGTTAGTTACCAGTCTGTATTAACCATTGTTCACTGCAAAAAGAAGCTTCACTGGCCAAGGTTGAGAGCCACATGTTTATGGGTACAAACATAGCTAGAAGGCAGTTTGGTAGCATGCCCATTTAACAAAACCACACTACTAAGTACCCCTCTAGGGCCTGTGGCCTCCCCAACCATGTATGGGTTTTTGACCAGGTTTGTGGTACTGGGTATTACCGGGTACCAGTATGAATTCCCTCCTCTGGAGTAAGCCTCAGACCCTTCAGAAAATTGTTAGCTACCCCCATAGCATCCACAAAACTATTTCAAGTACATCTTGTCTGTCAGGCCAAGACTGCAGCATGCAGGGTCTACCACTGAATAAGACAATGGACGACTTTTCTCCCCAACAGCCCACACGGTGGCTTCCAGCACCGTAAAACAAGCCAGCAGGAAGTAAGTTCCCAGGTCAGTGACAGGTTGATTTCTCTATGTCCTGAAGTCGCAGTGGATTGTGTCTTCATTAATAGGGTCTTATCATCTAGTTATAGTGAGCAAACCAAGAGCAATAGAATACCAATAGTCTGTGTTACTTAGGAGGCCTCGAGGCTTCCCTGATCAATAACTCATAGGCTAGTATCTCATGCCTAACCAAGGCTTTGCTTAATAGACCATGTCCACTGTCCAGCACATAATTTTAAATGATTTATTTATCTGACGTGTGTTAAAATTTTGCCTTCAGGTACATATGTGTGCCACATGCACGTCTGGTACCTGCCGAGGCTAGGTGTTAGAACCCTGGAATGGAGTTATAGGTGCCCATGAGCCACCATGTGAAGGTTTAAGAAGAAGCTGAGAGAGCTGCATAACTGAGCAGTTCAGCCGAGGTGCGGCTCTGTTCAGCACAGTCACAGTGCTGAGTCTGCCCTGCAGCATCACTGACAAGACGCAAATCTTCCTGCTGGAAAAAGTTTGGTTTTTGGCTGGAAGTTCTTTCTCTGGCTGCTCTCGGGGCTCCAGGCTTTCCTTCTCCAGCAGGAGAGTTCAGGTAAGTGTGTGTAATCTGATAGCCAAAGATCTATTCTTTCTGTCTGTCTGGCAGGTTGCATTTGCCACTCAGTCTTGCTATGCTGTGTCTGTGTAACAGCCCCCCAGCCCTTATCACAACTGATGCCATGATGGGACCATGCAGGCCTGGGAACCTGGCATGTGGCAGCAACGCTTGTAGGGAAAAAAACGAGAAGGAAGCCTAATCCAATCAAGGCTGTATGTAGTTCAGGGAAAGTCTCTAAATGTGTCAACCTTGCTTTTTGACTTCTATAGTTCTGCTTCTGGAAACCATTCCTTGCTAACAGAAGTGTGTCAACCCAATCTTGTTTTACATGCTTATTCTAATTCCCTCTCCTCCTGCCCTCCCACTCCTTCCACCTGGGAAAGGCTTAGGACTGCTCTGGGGTCCCAAACACCCATTGTACTCAGTCACTAGATAGCTAATAAAGACGTTCTTATCGACTTGACCCCCTCTTCTGTGGTAGATACCTCACAACATCTGAAACAGAATACAAACTGGAGCCAAAGCCTGAACGTGTTCAGTTAGTGTCATGTTACCACGCATAAGGACTGTTTCTGCATAATTTCTTGGCTTTTAATTATCTTTGGAAGGGATGACACAGGCAACTCCATCTTGTTGACTTTAGACAGTGTTTCCTCACAAAGCCTAGGCTGTTTTCAAACTTGTGATCAGCTTCCCAAGTGCTGGAAAGACAGGCAAGCACTTTCATGCCCAGCATGACTTCATTTCCGTTCTGACAAGTCCCAACCCCATCTCCGAAGACATCATATTGATGATTAATTATTTGCTCATTTGTCTGCCATTGTCCCATGTCCCGAGGGTAAGATTTGTCCGTGTTAATCCGATTTGATCGTACATCAGGGAGTGAGAACTGTCAGATATCAGGGAGTTAGTTTCAGTAAATCCTTTATGGTCACTTCAAGCGATTAGAGGTGTAGAAGTGTCTCTTAGGTCAGTCAGTTCTATTGGTCCTGTAGACTATGAGAAGCAGTTGTTTGTTTATTTTATTTTATTTTATTTTTACCAAAGGTTGTTAACCACTTGCAAGCCGGTTGTCTTACGGCAGTTGGGTCAGATTGTGAACGGAATGGGATAAGATACAGTCATCACCTACTTCAAGGATAAAAGACATTGGCCCTTTGTATTGCTATCCTGGGATTCTGGCCCATTCTTTTTACAAAAAGAATTCTTTTGCGGAGATACCTTTCTCTTTGTTGTGTTCCTTTGTTGAAGAAGCACTTGTCCAGAATGTCAGCGGGCAACCTGTAAGAGTAAAACTAACTTGAAAATCAAGGACTTGTCTACAGATTTACATTCAACATCTTTTTTGTTTGTTTTGTTTGGAGACAGAGCTGTCCTAGAGCTCACTATGTGAACCAAGCTGGCCTCAAACTCCCAGAGATCTGGCCTATTTCTGTTTTCTGAGTGCTGAGATTAATGGCATGTGCCACCATGTCCAGCCCTCCACCTTGTTTGCTGAGACAAGTTCTCTTACTGAATCTCAAGCTCTTTTGTTTGTGTTTAGTTGTTGTTGTTGTTGTTATTATTGTTTTCAAGACAGGGTTTCCTGGAACCTATGGAGCCAGTCAGTCCTGGAACTCGCTCTGTAAAGTTCAAGGTCAGCTTGGTTTACAAAGTAAGCTCAAAGACAGCCAGAACTGTTACACAGAGAAACTCTGTCTCAAAAAAAATTAAAGAGAGAGAGAGAAAGAGAGAGAGAGAGAGAGAGAAAGAACTGGAGGGGTATAGCTCAATAGTAGAGTGCTTTCCTAGCATGCACTAGGCCATGGGTTCAGTCCTCAGCAACCACATGGTGGCTCACAACCATCTATAATGAGATCTGGTGCCCTCTTCTGGCCTGCAGGCAAAGCATTAGATACATAATAAATAAATCTTTTTTTAACCATCCTTTTTTAAAAAAATAATCTTTATTTTACATACTAATCCCAGTTTCCTCTCCCTCCCCTCCTTCTGCTCCCCCACCTTCCACCCAACCCACTCCCCGTTCCTCAAAAAACAATAAGAAAAGCAAAGGAAAAAAAAAGGAAAAGAAAAGAAAAACATTGAGAAGTAAACCATGGCATATTAGGTCTTTTAAAGTATCCGCGAGGATGATAGCAAAGGTGTAGTTTTTAGTGTTTAATTTTTGTTTGCTGTGAATGGGTGTTTTGCCTGTGTGTGTGACTGGTGCCAAAAGAGGCAAGAAGGGAGCATTACATCATCCCCTAAAATGAGTGACAGCTGGTTGGGAGCCGCGGCGTGGGTGCCGGGACTTGAACTCAGGACCTCTGGAAGAGCAGCCAGTGCTCTTAACCTCTGAGCCATCCCTCCAGCCCTCCATGTTTTTCTTTTCTTATCTTTTCTTTCTGTTTGTTTTGTTTTGTTTTGAGACAGGGTTTCTTTGTATAGCTCTGGCTATCCTGGACTCACGCTGCAGACCAGGCTGGCCTTGAACTCTCAGAGATCTACCTGCTTTTGCCTCCCAAATGCTAGGTTTAAAGGCAACCACCACCACCACCACCCCAGCTCTAATGTTTTTCTTTAACATTTCCAAGAGGTTGAGTATTTTGTTGTGGTTTTGTGCTAGGATTGAACCCAGGGTCACACGCAAGCTAAGCATCATCACCCCAGCCCCAAAGCATTTGTTTGTTTGCTTGCTTCTGTCTTTTGAAGATAAGAAAACCTTACTGAGTAACTCTAGCTGTCATGGAACTCCCAGAGTTCCTGAATGTTGGGGTGAAAGTCATGTGCCGTCACACTCAGCTGTTTTTTTTAAGATTTATTTTTATTTCTAAATTATGTGTGTTTATGTTCATGTGTGTAGTAGGAGGCCGCTCGTTCATTCCTGGCTGCGCAGACCACGAAATAATCACTCAGAAACTATAGTATTTGCAATACTGTTTGCCCAATAGCTTGAGTGTATTGCTAGCTAGCTCTTACATCTAGAATTAACCCATTTTTATAAATCTGTGTATCTCCACATGACTGTGGCTTACCAGGCAAAGGTCTGGCATGTCTGTCTCCAGCAGCAACTACATGGCATTTAATTGACTCTACCTTCTTTCTCCCAGCATTCAGTTTAGTTTTTCTGCCTAGCTCTATTCTGCTAAGCCACCGGCCGAAACAGTTTTATTCATTAACCAGTAAAAGCAACACATATACAGAAGATCTTCCCACACCACATGTGAATGCAGGTGTCTGTGGAAGCCAGAGGTATTGGATCTCCTGTAGCTGGAGTTACAAGCAGTTGTGAGTCACCCAGTGTGGGTGTTTGGAAGTGAACTTGGGTTCTCTGCAAAAGCAGTTTACCTTCCTAACCACTAAGTCGTCTCTCCAGCCACCCAAAGTGTTCTTTTTAAAGTTGAAGTATAGTATTTCTACTTCTTTACATGACATATTATTATAGTAAAATCATAAATAATGTGATAAATTTATATCTGCACTATTCAATGATCAAGTCAGAGTAATTAGAGTTTCCATTCCAACGTTATCCTGTCCGTGTGTTGTTGGAAGCATTAAAACTCACCCTAGTTATTTTGAAATATATTTTGAGTATAGTAAGATGTAGTCTACTGGTACCTTACCACGCTGTAGGAGGTCAGTCACTCATAAACAGTGGTACTTGAACGAGAGGAAGGCTCCACCACTCCTCGGAACTTCAGATGGGGGAAGGCTTTGCTACATCTATGATTCATCTAAGAATCATAACACAGCTGTACCATATCAGCGATTCTCACTTACTCCGGACTTCACTGGCTTCCCGCATTCCTTCCCTATCTTATCACTCTACTGCTTCCTCTGCAGCTTGACTTCTGGCCCAGTGGCTCTCCATAGTTTCTAGAAGCTGACTGAGAAGAGAGAGAAACAAAACACAGAAGCCTCTGGTCTGTGTTCTTTGGGTCATCCTGCTATAAAATGGAAAAAAAAAAATCTCGAAAACCAGTAAGTTCTTTCCCCAGCAACATGCTTCTCTCAGGGTTGCATGTAAAAGTCTGACCACAAAGTCTGTGTCTAATTCTCTCAGGTCTTCACGAATCTCAGTTGGCAATAAGGGTTTTTCCTTTGGAGAGCAATTCTCTCTATGCCCTTAGGGCAACTTGGTTCACTCCCTGGTAAGCTTGCAGACAGTTTCCACAAGGGCTGGCTGAGGTTGGGCTCCTCCAGGCTCCACTTTCTCAGAGCCTGCCTTTCGGTGAGAAAATGACATCAGAGCCACAGAATCACGTTTAAGGCTTCATAAACCAAAAGTGAAAACGTGAAGACCTTCAGGTCCTCCCGCCATGTTCTGTACCCCAACTCTTCGCCCATTCTCTCCCAAGTATCCAAACTTACTATTCCTTCTTGGAGAAACCAAAGCCGCGTGTCCTGGACCTAGTACAAGAGTTGACAGAGTTATAAGGCTTTTGTCTACATCTGAGGTTCCTCAGAATCTCCTTCAAAGCACTAACATCCTGCACGGCTTGGTCCTGGAAACCTGACTGGGAAGACTCAGAAATGGAGAAATGGCAGGTACAGATGAAATGAAACACACATGCAGGAAAGTCAGGAGGGGTGGACTGTGCTCGCTCTGATGGTGGGGACCAACTGTGTAACCCAGAATCTCACCAAATTAATTATGTGCCACACTGGGAGGAGGACGTTAACCCTTCCAAGTGGGAGGTCTCTCTGTCGGGAGCAGTCTCGGGCTGCAGTTGTTTGGTTTTGCTTGCGCTGATCAATCATTAGCAAGCACTCATACTCGGTCTAGAGAAAGGCTTTGTCATTGCTCTGATCCTCACTGAAGAAAGTTTTGCCATTTCTAAGGGTCTGAGTGAAAGACCCAGATAAATCCAGAAAAAATAGCAGAAAAAATAGCAGAAAAAATAGAACCAAAAATCTAGCAGAAAAAATAGAGCCAAAAATCTAAGTAGGGAGAGATGAATCAAAAATCTAGGTTAGCCGGTTCAGCGACTCTGTTCCAGGAACTAGCTGATGATAAAGTTAGATTATAATCTTGAGAAACTTGGAGTTACCCCCTTGTGATTATCACTGGTATTTTCAGAATTTTATTGTTTCTTCCCTTAAATACCCCTCTCCCAGCTACTCGGGGTCAAACTCTCTACCCCTGCGTGGGAAATGAGTTTCGGCCCCAATGCACCAGTTTTTGTCCTGTCAATAAACCTTGTGTGGTTGCAGCAAGGACGGTCTCTCTTGAGTTCCTGGGGGGGGGGGGGTCATGTTATCCCGAGACTTGAGTGAGAGTCTCCCACCTCCCGAGGTCTTTCATGAGGCTTTGGGGTCCTTGACATGGCTGTGCTCCTGTCAATAATACATGGTCACTCAGGACTACATGACTCCTTACACATTCATTCAGGGCTTCCTCCATTCCCCAGACAAATACATAAGAAAAATAAAACAACATACTATGCTTCCCCCAATTTAAGCAAAGGAGTAGGCGTCACCCTTTGTCCTCTCCTCAGATAATATGGATACTATTGGAGGTTGTAAGTGTTGTGATTATGCCCGGGTCCCATGGCAGGTGAGAACCATGGGCAGGAGACAAATACGTCATCCAGGCAGAGCTTGAGTGTGGAGTTTATTGCGAGGAGGGTGGAGGGGAAGAAAAAAAGAGGTGGGGGGCGGGAAGCGAGAGATGGGGCAAAGGCTTGCTTGCCCCTTCAGAAGAGCAGCAGGAAAGAGAGATTGGGAGTGAGCGGAGCTTGTCTCTTAAAGGGAACTTTGCACCTGTATGCAGTCAGGGACCTGCTTACCATGCACAGAGGGATGATGCACTATGCCAGGTTCCCAGGATGTGCCTGGAAACTAACATTAAGAATGGGTTATTATTGTTCTAATCCATCCCTATGGTTCTAAAAAAGTTTTCCGCTCATCACAGGATGAATCGTGTCTCAATTTTTGTTTTATATATTGATGTTCTAACCCCCATTACCTCAGAATGTTTCTGTATTCGGAAATAAGTGCCTCAGAGGCAGTTAAGTTAAAATGAGGTCCTCAGACGGGCATTCATCTAATCTGAGACCATCTGCTTGGACCCTGATATATCCAGGGGAAATTCATGTGGAAACACATGGAAAGCATCATCTTCGGTCCTGTAAAAAGGCCTCGGGGAAGTCAACCCTGCCAATTGCTTGGTTGAGGATTTCTAGCCTCTAGGAAGGTAATAAGTTTCATGCTGACACCACGCCGTTCACAGTATGCGTTACTCAATGTAGGACTCAACAAACCCACCGCCCACAATAACTCAAAGAGGAGGAGGACTCACTCCTGTGCTCTCGCTGACTCTATCTGAAATGACCACGTGGTGGGGAAGCAGGAGCTCCCAAGTCAGCTGGATTTGCCCACTGGTGGCTCTTCCCTGCCACTCAGCAGTGCCTCGAGAGGACCTGGTAATGACCATAAATGACAGTACATGTGGCATGGCCCACCTTGTTAGGCTCCTGCCTGTCCAGCCGTCCCTGAAGTGAATAGTCCCTAAGTCTAAGGAGCAAAGACATCTCGGGAAGAGAAGGAAGGGGTACACCAGGCGGGGAGCTCTTGTTCTGGGGATCTTGTTTCCGTCATTGCACCCAAGGCAAGGTCCTACTAGCTGAGAATTCAGTACCTCATCCCCAAGGCTCCACCGGTGTCCACCGTCTCACCTGACCCCTGCCGAGCTGGCGACTTCTCTAGGAAAACGACACCCTCTCCATCTTCTCTAGACACAGAAGATCTCCAGCACCATCCCCAGGGTTGCTAGTCTGCAGCCAAAGCTGCCTCCTTCTGATATGGGTTCAGGGCGACGGTGAGCGCTGCTTCCTCAAGGTCCTGAAACTCTCAGCTGCAAGAGGAAAGAAGAAATGCCAAGAAGCCACGTTTGCCAGGTTTCCCCTGAAAACCTGAATTTGGATCTTCTTTACCATCTTAGGATGACTCCTTTCCTAAAGGCTCCATTTGTCCCACGGATGTGAATTCCTCTGACCTGGCCAGGCTCTGAGAGTATTCAACTCCCACCCCCACAGACCACCTCCTCTGGGGAAACTCACAAAGTCTCAAATAGCTTTGTTCTCATTCCTGGGGTTCCGTTCCTCTCCCTTAACTGGCCCACAGCTGGGAACAAACCCACTACTTGTTTGTTCCAGATTCAGTGACCTTTGGTTTCCCCTTTTTTCTAGGGCCTCCGCTTTCAGTCTGTCAGTACTCAGAGACTGGAGCTGTGTGCTCCCTGGCCAGCTCTAGACACTCCTTCCCCGGTCTGTCTCCAGTTACTAGCCTACCTTCTTCCATTCCCTCGCAGTGTGCTGTCCAGATCCACCAGACATTTTAGAGGTAAGCGAAGAAGCTGAACCCAGTAGAACACATCCATGACCCCAGCATTTTGGGAGCTGAGACAAGAAAATCTCGAGTTCAAGTCCATCCTGGGTCGCACAGTCAAACCCTGGTCCTGGATTCAATCCCTGGCACCCATATATACAGAAACAAGAAAATTCACATGGCTTTCCTACATAAAGTCCTAACAAGGTCCAACATGATCTAGCCCAGCCCCTGCTGATCTCTCTGACATCGTCTTGGGTCTTTCTTCCTTTTTTGGATTGAAATCAGAATGTCCCAGTACCTTCAAAGGTCAGCAACTTTTGGTTCCTTATCGTTTTCTCCCACTCTGACGGAGTCGGCCTGTTCCCTCAAACCAGAGTGTGTGCTCTGCCTCCTACTCATCTTGTGGCTTCCTCCTCCAGAGTTCCCCTCTCTGAGCAGAATTCACAGATTTTTGTGCCAGGGCATAGACTGTCTGGAAATGAATCCAGGCACTTCCCGTTTCCTCCTTGGGAAAACAAAGACGATGGCGATGTGGTGGCAAACACTTTTTACTCACTTGGTCGTCCCACCAGGATCAGATCGGATGCTTCACCGTCACCTTTTAACCACTGATAGCCCTGATGATGGTCTTTCTCTATGGGGTATTCTTTTCTTCCCTTCCATTTTGTTTTCACGCAGTGTTCTCCTATGTGCTGTTAAAGGCTGCTGTTTCTATCGCTGTGATCAAACACCATAGCCACGGGGAACACTTAATCCATCTTACATGTCCAAGTAGCAGTCCATCAGTGAGGGAAGTCAGGCAGGAACCTAGAGGCAGGAACTGAAGCAGAGGCCACGGAGGAGTGCTGCCTACAGGATGGCGCCTCATGGCTTGCTCAGCCTGTTTTCTTACAGACCCCAGAACCACCAGCTCATGGATGGCACTGTTCACAGGAAGCTGGCCCCTCCCACATCAAATATCAATCAAGAAAATGCACCACAGCCATGCCCACAAGCCAATCTAATGGAGAATTTTTTTCCATTGAGGCTCCCTTTTCCAAAATGACTCTTGCTTGTGTCAAATTCACATAACACTGATCCACACGAGGGCATTAGCTTAGCAAATTCTTGGTGGACAGGGGAAGGAAAGAATTGGAAATCGACAAGACTTTGAACGTTCTAAGCACACACTCCACCACTGATTTACACCTCCAACTCTGCATTAAAAATATTGTCTCTTAGGGGCTGGAGAGATGGCTCAGGGGTTACGGGCACAGGATGCTCTTCCAAAGGTCCTGAGTTCAATTTCCAGCAACCACTTGGTGGCTCACAACCATCTATATTGAGATCTGGTGCCCTCTTCTGGCCTGCAGGTACAAACGCAGGCAGAGTACTGTGTACATAATACATAAGTGAATCTTAAAAAGAAAAGAATATTGTCTCTTAGCCGGGTGGTGGCGTACTCCTTTAATCCCAGCACTTGGGAGGGAAAGGCAGGAGGAGCTCTGTGAATTTGAGACAAGCCAGGTCTACACAGTGAGTTCCAGGACAGCCAAGACTACCCAGAGAAACTGTCTCAAAAAGGAAAAAGAAGAAGAAGAAGAAGAAGAAGAAGAAGAAGAGGAAGAGGAAGAGGAAGAGGAAGAGGAAGAGGAAGAGGAAGAAGAAGAAGAAGGAGAAGAAAAGAAAGAAAGAAAGAAAGAAAGAAAGAAAGAAAGAAAGAAAGAAAAGAATATTGTCTCTCTTCCGTCTGTGTTCTCTCAGCTGCTGGCATATTAATATTTTACCAGTAATGTCAACATAAATGACGTTTTCGAGACAGGGTTTCTCTGTAGCTTTGGGGCCTGTCATGGAACTAGCTCTTGTAGACCAGGCTGGCCTTGAACTCAGAGATCCACCTGCCTCTGCCTCTGCCTCCCGAGTGCTGGGATTAAAGGCGTGTGCCACCATCTGGCTAAACTTCACTAGTTTATTTCTATGTCTTCCTAAACACTTCAGCATTGTTTTTTTTTTAATTTAGCTATTTTTTTCAGTAACTCAAGTCCTTTCTCATGCTAGACAAGAGCTCTTCCACAGAGCTACACCCTCAGCTCGTCATTAGCTGTTTGCTTCCATTTTAAAACACAGTGTAGGAGCCTGGAGAGACGACTCCGTGGCTAAGAGCACTGGCTGCTCTCCCGGGAGCCCTGGGTTCGGTTTCCAGCATCATGGTGGGAGCCATCTATAGGTGGAATTTCATGGGATCAACCTCCCTCTCCCAGTGTACAGATGTGTATGCAGACAGAACACCCATACACATAAAACAAACAAGTCTAAAAAAACCCACAATGTAATCATTGTTATATGTTTTTAAAATTTCTATTTTTATTTTCATTTTATGTGCATGGATGTTTTGTATTTTTGTGCACCACTTGGGTACCTAGAGTCTGCAGAGGCCAGAAGAGGGCATTGGGTACCCTGGAACTAGAGATGCAGGCAGCTATGAACTGCTATGTGGGTGCTGAGAATCAAACTTAGATCCTCTGGGATAGTGGTAGGTACTCAATATTGAGTCATCTCTACAATCTCCAATGTAATCTTTTTGATGTGTGTGTGCACACACGCACGCATGCACACACACACACGTGCATGTACTTCATCCAAGGAGTATTGTAGTACTCACCCACAGTTCCAGCTATTCCAAAAGCTGAAGTAGGGGGGTACGTTGAATCCAGCAGATAGAGACCAGTCTCAGCAACTTAGTAAGACCCTCTGTCTACCTATCTATTTATCACACACATACACAAACACACAGACAGACACTCCCACACACACTCTCACACACATACATAAACACATACATATATACAGATACTCACGCACACAGAGACACTCATACACACATGTGCATGTGTGTGTGTGTGTGTGTGTGTGTTTTAGGCTCTAAGCAATATTATTCCCCACACCCTTACAGCACACATACTGTTTCTGCTGTTATCAACATCCTGTACCACAGTGGAACATTGGTTACAATCAATCAGCCTATATTTATATCGTTATCAGCCAGAGTTCATGGTTCAGATCAGGGTCCACTCTTGGTGTTATTTATACTTTCTATGTTTGAACAAACAGATAATGACATATGGGTTCTATCAATATTGTACAGGGCAATTTCAGTTCCCTTAAAAGTAATATACTTGATGACTGGAGAGATTGACTCAGTGATTAAGAGTACTGACTGCTCTTCCAGAGGACCTGGGTTTGAAACCCAGCATCCACAGGGAAGCTCACAACTATTTCTAACTTCAGTTCCAAGGAATCTGATACTCTCTTCTGGTTTCTGAAGGCACTAGGCACACACGTGGTACGATGGTGTACAGACATACAGGCAAAACACCCAAAAACATAAAAAATAATTAGTTAATTAATTAATTTTTTTAAAAAATATACTCATTTGGGACTGGAGACATGGCTCAGAGGTTAAGAGAACTGGCTGTTCTTTCAGAGGTCCTGAGTTCAATTCCCAGTAACCACATGGTGGCTCACAACCATCTATAGTGGGATCTGGTACTCTCTTCTGACGTGCAGTCATATATACAGGCAGAAACACTGCATACATAATAAACAGATAAATAACTCTTTAAAAAGAAGTACTCATTCATCCCTCTATCCACAATTTCTATCAACTGCTGTACCATTCAACAACAGTATCAACTGCTATACAGAGAACTGCTGTTCTCTGTCTCCATTCTTTTGTGGGTTTGGGAAGGTCATGTGGATGAACACATAGGCCCTTTCAGGTTGGCTTCTCTCACTTGGTGATGTAAACCCAAGTTCTCCACAGATGTTTTCATGACCTGGTAGCTCGTGTCTTTTAGCAATAAGCAGTGTTTTTGATGGAAGTACCACAGTTCATAAGGACGTCAACTCACTTATGAACAGCGTCAGAACAGCGACCAAACTATGGGGTTTTCAAAGTTGGACTGAATGCATTTTGCATTATGAGATGGCGAAGAGACCTGGGTCCCAGGACAGAATGTTACGTTTGACTCCGAAAGGTCCTCTACAGGCCGATGTGGTCGAATGCTTGGTCTCCAGCTGGCTTTCTAAGGGAACAGAACTGATACTCACATATGCTTATATATAAACATGCACATACATATATTAAAAGGGGACTTATCAGGCTGGCCTGCAGGATATGATCCAGGTGGTCCAACGATGGCTGTCTTAACACAGAAAGGACAAGACACTGGTAGCGTCCACAGGCTGGATGTCTCAGCAGTCCCAGTCTGGAGGGTCCCTGCAGAGAGCCTGGCCTTCAGTCTGCATTGGAATCCTGAAGAAACTGGTTTTAAGACCCGTCGCACTTGCCATAGAGAGCGAGGGCAAGGAGACAAAAGACAAGTTTCCTTCTTCCGTATCCTTTTGTGTGGGTTGTCATTTGCAGGAGTGGCCCAGGTTTGCGGTGTGTGTCCCTGCTTTAAATTAGATTATCAAGAAAATTTCTCACAGTGGTGCCCAGCATTTGGGTTTTAGCTGATTTCAGATGTGTTCAGGTTGACAGCCAAGATGAGTCGTCACAGGAGTTCAGCTGGGAGAAGTAAGCTATACCGCCTTCCGGTTCCGGCCTTTTCTGTCGATGGTGACAGCCATGTGAAGACTCTCGACCACACGTCCCTGTGCTACCAGCTCCACCTTGCGCTCTGCACCGTGATGGACTGAGATTCTAAGGTTAAGCTGCCCCTGTCAGGTCGCCCCACTGCAGTGATTCACCTTGCCTTCTGCACCATGATGGTCTGAGACTCCGAATGTTGAGCTGCCCCTGTCAGGTCGCCCCACTGCAGTGATGCAAACGGTAACAAACATTCCCAACTGAAGGAATATTTTTTGGTTTTGGTTGCTTCAAAGTTCCAGCAAGGTGAACAGAGCTGCTCTGGCAATAAGGTGAAACCTGGTAAAAACCTAGTAAACAAGGCTTTTGTATGGATTGTTCAGTCGCACTATGTTCGGTTTTGTTAGGAAACTGCTGGCCAGGGTTGGAGAGACAGCTCAGAGTTAAGTGCTCTCCTAGAGGACTGAAGTTCTGTTCCCAGCACCCACACACATCTGGTGTAACTGCAGCTCCAGAGGATCCTATGGCTCAGGCCTCTGAGCATTTGCAAACTTGCTCCCATTCTTGCTTCTTGCTCTCTCTCTCTCTCTCTCTCTCTCTCTCTCTCTCTCTCTCTCACACACACACACACACACACACACACACACACAAACAATTTTTTAGGAAGATAGCTATGGAGACACACGCCTTTAATC